ATGATAAATATATTACATGAGCCTGAGCAAGGTTGTGACTTATGCTAGAGTATGTTTGAAAGAATTAGCTGTTACCAACTCATTATTTACTTTATGATAGCAGTCAGTTATATAAGGGGTGCCTTAAAAAGAATTGGATTGACTCTGTGAAACAGGATATGTCAAATAAGAATGCAGGTGAAAAGAAGACATACTGCACTACCCGCACTCAGTGGTGAGAAGAATGTTTTTTTTTTTAAATAGTATTCAGGCAATGAAATAAATGCAAGAAAAAAAAATTGAGAATTTTAAATACAACACCTGATCAAACCATTTTAATATTATATAAATATTCAAAATAGTTGTTTAAAATTTAATACATTATGTCTAAAGTATAAGTGTGTGAAACATTGAAATGACCAAATGAAAAATAATTAGCCTCAAATAGTAAGATATTTTCATCAAAAAAGAATAATATATCAATATTTCCAAAAAAAGATCATAAAAAACATTATATTCAATAAATAAATGTGTATACAAAGCCAATTTTCTTCACAAATTGGTAAAATAATTAGGTGAAACATTTAGACACATTTTATGATTGATAGAACAACATTTAGTATTATATTTACTATAATTTACAAGTCATTTGATACAGAACAAACATTTTATAAATCTGAAAACGAATACGGTCATAATGTTCATGTTTAATTCAGTCTTAGGATTAATAAATTTTACTTACCAATATCAGTAATAGGAGCTTTGCAGCTGTATCCCTTCAAGTGACCAGAGTCAGAATCATCCAGCAGTTCGGGGGTTTCAGGTAGCCCCGCCACAACAAAATAATCGGCTACCTTTCGATCATCCATTTTTTACAAATTACCTGGAATTGAACTTACTGTAAATATTATTTGAAATTTACAAAAAAGTGGTACTAATAACGAAATATATAGGTAATTTAATTTACGTAATTTTTTTCATTTTACTCACTACCTGATAATTATTTTTCGTTCATGATACCTTCAAAAAGCCAATGTGAATGTTTTTTTTTCAAAAATATACTGAAATAAGGAACTCACAAAGTAATGAAACCTTTGAAGTGAACTTAAATTTTATTGTTTTCAATTGCCGATGAAGATCCATTACACATACATCCAATGGTTTTTATTTCGAAGTGTTTATTATTGTCCTCAATTTATTCAGTATTGCTTTATTTTATTTCGGCAGAATCTTAAACAACTAATTAGCTTTAATGAAAGGGTTTATTTTTTACTGATTTTCATAAACTTCATTTTTGATGGTTTAATCACAGATGATAGATATTAAGTGTATTATCTATGGATGATACTAACCTACTACTATTTGGATTTTTTTAAAGGAATTTTATGACCTGGTAACTAAGATCATTAAGTCATGTCTTATTTTAATTTATATTCTTATTTTTATGAAAAATGATAATATGAAGTGAAATTATATGAAATGAGATTATATGGGATGAAATATAATCTCAGTAAAATAGTGGTCATTTCCTGACATTTTTTTCAGTGGACTTTTTGGAGGACCCCGAGAAATTACGTCCAGGGCCTTTGTTCATTTTCTCACATTTGTGCACTTTCACAGATACTAAACAGTTAACCTGAAGAAACACTAAATAGACAAAATAAAAAATCGCAGAACTTCACTCCTCGCGTTCTCGCCAAAAAGTATCTCGCTAGGGTAGGGCTCTGTAAATTTGGCCCCCATTTTTTTTATTTTCGTATTTTTTTATTTTTATTTATTTGTTCGTCTTTTGTTCGTTGTTGTTCGAATGTAAAAATTGTTTGTCCGTCTTTTTTTTATTTATAATTAATTAAACAAATGATCACCGTTAAGTGGGCCCCCCTTAGTGGATATCGTTATTTTTATCGCTTAAATCACCAATAGTCGTCGAACAAACGATAATTGATCAAAATTAATTAATCTGAGCGATAAAAATAAAGATGTCTAGTAAGGGGGGCCCACTTAATGGTAATCATTTGTTTAATTAATTATAAATAAACAAAAGACGAACAAACAATTATTACATTCGAACATTAACGAACAAAAGACGAACAAATAATTAAAAAAAAATATCCGAAAATCAAAAAAAGGGGGGCCAAATTTACAGAGCCAGAGGGTAGCGGTAAGGAGAACCATCCTGTGTGTAAAACGGCTTACTGAATTTGGCCCCCCTTTTAGCTAATAAAGATCTAGTAAAGGGGGCCAACTTAAAAGTGATCATTTCTTTAATGAATTATAAATAAATAAAAGACGAACAAACAATTTTTACATTCAAACATTAACAAACAAACGACGAACAAATAATTAAAAATAAAAAAAAACGAAAATAAAAAAATGGTCCAAATTCAGTAAGCCGTGTAAAACGTTGCCGTTAAAATCTGCTAAATAAGGGTGGCGCTACAGTAGCAACTGGGTAAATTTTAAAAAAGGCACTGAATGTTATTAGAATAAGATAGAGACATAAAAAAGGATGAAAGAACTATAATCACTAAAAAATCACAAAAGTATTTTATTTAAAGCTGATAAGAAAATGCAATCGATGTCTCCACGTTTTACCACAGCAATAATTTTAGGTTATATTGACGAAATTAGTGTGGACTACGTAAACATGTGAGGTCTTGTTACTTGTATATTACACTGACACTAATTACTCTAGTCATTAAATATATTAAATTTCCTAACTCAGCATAATTCAATCAGTTAACAACTGCTCAATTCATATCATACCCTGTGCCTATGTTAGCGCCATTCTGGAGGATTTTGAAACTGTTATTTAGTACGGTACGGTACTGAAAGTGGGACATTTTTTTCAAGTCTAAGACTTACATACACTTCTGCTCTACTCTCTGTAACCAATGCGGAGATACCAGTGTGAGAATTGATTAATATATATAATTTACAAGACTGGTTATGGAATCCGTATCACTGCAGTACCTAGTGAAACTTTACAATATAATAGGAAAACCTAGACCATACATAACTTCTTCTTTCCTTCAAAGCTATTTTAAAAAAAAAAGAAGTGGTGTCGTGGGACACCGGATAGGAATGAAGTTCCTTATTATAAAATATTAATTTTAAGTTTTATTCGAGGTATAAAGAAAATAATTATTCGGGTATGCTAATTTTAATATGTTTTTTTTATTGATAAAAATAAAAAATAAAAAAGTACTTTACAAAATTATCAACTTTATTTTATTATGATTTATTATTACAATGATTTATAAAAAACATATAATAAAAATATGTTATGTTTTGTACGTTATTACAAAGTTAAGTCGTACACTGTGTGCATTACTAATAAAATCTTACGTTACGGACGTTTTTTCCCGGTTAGGGTGCCCCTCCGCATCGTCCCTTAAGGAACTTCGTTTCAAAACTCAACAATCTTAGTCACTCATGCGTTCGGATTTTAAGATAATCAGTGGTTGGTAATTTTGTATGGACCTCTATGAATTAAGACAGTCTTAAATAAGCCCGTACATTTACCGAAGTCGTAACTCTAATTAGTTTACAGTGCATATTTCTTCGAAGTTGTCATGGCCTAAAGCAGTGACCGGCAACTTTGTCAACAGCATTCGCGAAGCAGCTGTTAGGTTTCCCTTGGAGACGCTCGGGTAGCTGTTAGCAAATGCAACCCGTCCAGGCTGAGCCTTTTCTCGTCCACCTGTCCTAGTGAAGCTGGAATGGCCTTAATATGATAAAAAAAACTTTGTCAACCAAAAGAGCAAAATATAGATAACACAAAATTGAATTATATTCGATTCGGCCTTTTTTAACGTATCTAATATATTTTTATTGCCTCGTCTTTCAAAAATGTTTACTCGTCCCTTACAAGGTAAGATAATATTATGTAATATTACATACTTGTCTGAACTAAACATTTTGCGGAAGAGCAGTAGCCGAAGAGTCAAAGAGCCAGATACAGCTCACGAGCCGCGGGTTCACTTCGATAAAGCGGCACGACACCAGTATGCTTAGTGCGAGTTTTTTACGCTCTCGACAGCGTAAAAATTAACTCACATTTGTATGCAGTTGGGACAGTGCCCCTAGCGGCAAAAGTAGACAAACGTTCCAACTCCATACAAATTAGTGCATACTTTTAAGCTATCGAGAACGTTAAAAAACTCCCACTAAGCACACATAATCCTCTCATGGGAACTACATGGCCGATCCTGTGGACCAAATGGTAAACAGTCGACGTCTCCTAAATCACGTCATTTTGGCTCCTTCCGATCTTCTAACGGTGCTTTTAGGTACCTCAAGCACCGGTCATCGTTCTCGTCAAACCCGTCACTTGCGACGAAGGGTTCAGTGAGTAAATTAACCCACAGACACAGCCCACTGCGTTTCTCGCCGGATCTTCTCAGTGGGTTGCGTTTCCGATCCAGTGGTAGATTCTGCGAAGCACGGCTCTTGCTAGGGTTCGTGTTAGCAACGTCGTCAGGTTTGAGCCCCGTGATCTCACCTACTAGTTAAAGTTACGCTGATATGTTCTCTAGACCATCAGCCAAGCTAGAAAAAAAAAGTGCCGCGTGTTGCCGTCTACTGGTCTAAAGGATAAGACGCCCGATAAATTCGTATCTAGCGATTCGACTGCGCCGGTGTTCGAATCACGCAGGGTGACAGGCGGTAGGCGGACCCATTTTTCTGTCATTCCTGCTTAAGTATATATATATATATAAGATGCGAACCAATCGTGCGGTCATGCATTCCAGGGCACGATAACTGTTGAAACAATGTTATTGAAAGATCGCTCTCGTCTATTGAAAAATTGCGGTTCTATGATCTATAAGTTACAGTATCTAATTCTAATTTTATTTTAAATGTAAAGTATATTTTTATTTGCAGTTGTAATGCTATCACGTAGCTGGTGTGGCATCTATGTTACTAAACTTTTTATCAGCATTTTTCAGTACTAAGACGTGGCACCACCATACTAAAGCAGTATTCATGGACATTTATAATTTTAACAAAAAGCGTGCTTGTAATAATATATATTTCTATTTAAAATTTTATACATCAATCACAATATCTTTCTGCGCTTTTGTAGAGGGTGCTATTGTGTCATTTAGTTCATAAACATCAGTATTGGACACTTGAGCTCCAGCCATTATTAAGTTTATAGCTCCTTCTAGTTCAGCTATACTTTTACACACTTTTATTTCTGATTCTACACGTTTGAATAAACACTTGTAGAGGTAAAGATTTTCAGGAGAAAACATGTTAATTTTGCCTTCAAATATGTCTATGAAAACATTGGTAGCATCAACAATTGTCCTAGTAAACCTTGTTTCTCCCAATTTGGAGATAAGGAATTTAAGCAGTAGGCCAATAAATTTTTCTTCTAAGTTTTCAATGGCTACTCTTAAAACTTCTCTTCTAAGCAATTCTTGAATGACAGCTGTAGTTTTTTCCGGGTATTTCACAGATATGTATGGCCTGAGAACAACTGTTAGTGCTTTGCTGAATTGCATTTTTCTGATAAGGACATCACAATCTGGAAGTTTCTGTTTTTTATTAATTTTCACTTCATTTGCAACCTCCACAGTATCCGCTTTTGTTTGACTGGTGTGATCAGGGATGAATTTTAATAGATTTTTTCTTTTTTCAGATTGTCTGACTGGCTCCTCTCGTTTTCTTATAGAAATTATACCATCAATCATGCCGACTGTTAAAATGTCATCATGTTCAGATATGGCCATACTTAATATTGCATTTGGGAAATCTATATTGTGCACAACTTTGAATGTAGATACGTCATATATTTTTACATGTCTGTCTAGAGATGCTGACATTAATCTGCTGTTGTTGCTAGCTAGTCTCAATGTTGTGACTGTTTTGTGGTGTTGCGAAATATTGGATAAAAGTTTCCCACCATTGAAAATATCCCATACTTTTATTTCAGTACCTCCAGCACTAATAAAAATGCCACCTGAAGGTAAAAATAATGTAGATTCCACAGGGCTTCCGTGGTTTACTGTCATAATAGTTTCATTTGATCTGCAGTCATATAATTTTACTGTATGGTCATAGCTTCCTGATAAAATAATGTCTGGAGAAATTGGACTGGCAGCTCCTGCTCTAATATAGTCTGTGTGTTCATTAAAATTTGCTATTCTTTCTTCTGTAGATATGTCCCATAATCCCACTGATTTATCATCAGAATAACTAATTATTTTTAGCTGATCTTTCGTGAAGAAAGTTCTGTGGACCTGGAATACAAAATAAACTGAACTTAATTTTAAATATTTAAAATAATTTTATATCAGTATACCAATCTTACAACCAAAACCAAACATTAAATCCAAACAAACAAATAGAACATAATAATATTATTATCGGCTCATCCAATGATAATGCAACCATAATTATAAAACAGTATTGACTTTCACATTTTCTAACTCTAGTAAAGTTGATTGAGAAAATTGAAAAATAAAACTTGATCTATAAAATTGCTAGGAAATGTTTTCACAATATAAGATTGGTATTTACTTAACTCTTTATTTAAACATTATTGCTATATGCCAACAGGTGATAGAGAACAAATATCTTATGAGCTATAAAAACTTTAGAAAACCATTAGACAAAAAACCATAGCCAGGGTGAAGCATGAGGACACCTTTGTCAATTACCAAAGAGAAATACAGAATTTGAAAGTCAAATACAGAAATAAATAGAAATACTTACAGGGCCTGTATGACCAGTAAAAACTCTAAGTACATTTTTTGATTGTACATCAAAGAGCTTAACAGCTGCCTCTTCACTACCAGCCACCAATAATCTTCCATCAGCTCTGAAACACCCTCCATAAGCAGCTTCAACAAACTTTGAAATATTCTTTGCTACCACTTTTGTGACTGGATCATAAACCTGGAGTGATAAATGTAATTAGTTTTGAACCTAGCAAGTTTATTTTAATTTATTTTATTAAAAAACTTAAATCATTTTGCTGCAACAGGAGTGACACTATTGAACAGGCCTTATAACCAGAATAATACTATTGAACAACATATTTGGAGATTTTGAATTTATTTATATTATAAATAGCTTTTCAGGTTCTTGATAATGTCAAATTATTCTTAAACATTGATAAACACACATCCACATGGTCCAGCAGGTCACTGTGTCCCTAAAACCAACGTTCATACACACAGGCCAACATCAGAATAGAATCTTTAATCAATGCTGTATAGCGAAAAAGTTAATTGGGTTTATTTTCACATTTAACTTATTTTTTAGGCTTCCTTGGCCACTGAGGCTTGATCTATAAGATCAAACATTTGATATTGCAATTTTGAATGCTTTACTGTAATTATGAATGTACTGACCTGAACTCTTACTGAGCATGTTGCTGCAAAATAGTAAGGTTCGACCGGGCTGAAGTCTAAATAGTCAATAGCACCGAATTCTTTTACGAGAACAGGTAGCTGAAAAAGATAAGGAAATCATTACTTTACTGAGATTTAAGTATTTAAGTTTTATTCTTTGATTTCTTTACTTACACCAAGTTTTTTCCAGTAAATGATATCGTGAGTAAGAACTGATGCAGGTTTTTTAAATATAGCTTTGTTTGTTTTTTTAAAGGGGAACGAGACTTGTGCCATTGTTATAATGTATATGAGTACAAAATTAAATAAATGTAATCATCTAAATATCACATATCCTCCATAAAAACATTAGCAAAATATGTAAACACAAATCCAACGTTAAACAGTGCCATGCGGCATTCCGATCATCCGATAATGGTCGATTTTTGACAGTGGCATTCTGTTTTGTGGACATTTGACAGAATTGACACTTACAGATCAGAAAAAACTGTCATGTATCTCCAATACAAATTAATCTACGGCATAGAATTGAAAAAAAAAAAAATGTTACGTCAGAAAAGTGTGAATATAAATTGTGTATTTTTTAAATTTGTATTTAAGTTTTGTTGTATTTACTAAATAGTGATTTTATTTAGAGGAACAATAATCGTAATACACCATGTTCAAGTTACTAAACCGTCCTGGTCGACGCAGCGCTGTTATGAAGTTATTTTGTGAGAAAGTTGAGGTTAGAACACCGAGAATTTTTTATGTTTATTCTTCAGCTGGTTCTGTGAGATTCGCATCAACACTTGGCAGTGATGCAGGGAAAACTCTACCTCTAGCGGACAGCATACCAGAACCACCTCCTGTTCCAGATCCTACAACGATATCAGATGCTGTTAGTGCAGTCCAATCTTTTGCTGCGAATGGTGAACCTACGTTTGCCAGCATAGGCCTAGGAGGTTGGGGACCAGTTGGATTGGTGCAGAACTGTTTCGAATATCTGCACGTCACTTTAGATGTTCCATGGTGGGGTGCAATTGTCTTGGGCACCATAGTTGTCAGAGTTGTTATGTTCCCACTTGTGATTTTATCACAGAGAAACAGTGCACAAATGAACAATAATCTACCAGAAATACAGTTATTGCAGATGAAAATGACACAAGCCAGGCAGACTGGAAATCAAATTGAAGCTGCACGATATGCTCAGGAAATGATGCTTTTCATGAAAGAAAAAGGATTGAACCCTCTTAAAAATTTAATAGTTCCGTTAGCTCAGACACCTCTGTTTATATCCTTTTTTATGGGATTAAGAGGAATGGCTAATTGTCCTGTAGAAAGTATGACACATGGAGGCTTATGGTGGTTTGTAGACTTAACAGTCCCAGATCAATATTTCTTACTCCCAGTTATCACAAGTGCAACTATGTGGGCAACAATAGAACTAGGAGTAGATGGTGGACGTCTCGATGCACAGAATATGCAAGTTATGAGATATGTTTTGAGGGCAATTCCTTTAGTAATGATACCCTTCACTATTAACTTTCCTGGTGCCATTTTAGTCTATTGGTGTTCCAGTAACTTCATATCCTTAATGCAAGTTGGTTTCTTAAAAATTCCAGCAGTCAGAGAATACTTTAAGATCCCAAAGTTAATAAAACATTCNGGTGGACGTCTCGATGCACAGAATATGCAAGTTATGAGATATGTTTTGAGGGCAATTCCTTTAGTAATGATACCCTTCACTATTAACTTTCCTGGTGCCATTTTAGTCTATTGGTGTTCCAGTAACTTCATATCCTTAATGCAAGTTGGTTTCTTAAAAATTCCAGCAGTCAGAGAATACTTTAAGATCCCAAAGTTAATAAAACATTCTGCTGATGCTTTACCAATAAAAAAGAAAGGTTTTGTTGAAGGAGCAAAAGATTCATGGACAAATATGAAGCTTTCAAAAGAATTAGCTGAAAGACAAAGAATTGATGAAATGATTTTCACAAAAGCAGGCAAGGGACCCTTACAGAAAACATATAAATATGATCCCACAAAACTGACAAACATACAAGCAAAATCAAAGTAATATTAATTTAGAGCTAAAATACTAGTTATGTTTATATAAGACAAAATTAAATAAAAATTACAAAACAAGAATATGATCGTGATCTTATTTAAAATTAATGAATTAATTATATTAATCATTATATGTCAAACTAGTCATTAGAATAACTCTAAAATAACTACATATAAAGGAGTGTGAGGTATTTGGGGTTTAAGTATGAGTTGTTGTTGTTTATGTGTGTATGTATATGTATATTTTAATATAAGTGAACAGACTAGAATACATTGGATGTAGTTGGGTGAGCTCGAGCTGAGTTCTTTTAGGTTTAATTTTTAAGTCAGTGGTGTCCTTTTAATACACCAAGAATAACATACCCTGAGTAAAGGAAACAATTTGTTTCGTATGACATACCTTTACTTCAATGTTTTTTTTTTGCTTACTCGGGTGAACTATCTCACAACCCATTTAGTCGCTACTGAAATCTATAGACGTGAACAATGTAACTGAAGGTAGGTACCTTGAAATATTAGTTCGAATTCTCAGCTAGTATGACAGCTGCCCCATGCTTCAAAAAAGAACACATTAAACCTTCGCGACAGAAATAAAGTGGGCGGTGGTGCGAATCCAACATAACGCCTATTCACTAACAAAGTTATGTTATAAATTCAAGTTCATTCCATAAGATTGGCAGTGACAAATTTTCCCTTGGAGAAAGTGTTTCGATCGGCTAGTCGAGAATATTTTTTATGAGATTTGTGTTTTTATTAAATAAGGTGATGGAAAAAAATGCGTAGGGCAGTTTTATGTAATATGGATCAAGACCGATTTAGACTTAGGGTCGGCAGATGGCGCTCTTAGAGGTCAGTGAAAGGCCTCCTCGGATTTGTCGAATGCCACCTCTAGATCCAATCTCCAGATCATGTCGATAACTACAGCTACATTGTCATTGGTAAAATGGACAGACTCGTGGTAGTCGCGCAGAAGGGTGCAGGACCGGCAGGGCTTAGTCGTAGCCGCGCTCGAAGAGGAAGTCAAGTACGGCGCTACTGTAACTCGACCGACCTGTTGTATCAGTTGTATGGTTGATGGGGAGTGCTCTGAGGAAATGTTTGAGAGGATTCCATCATCTAGTTACTGTCGCACTAACCGCTATCGGAGTGGAGTTCATCCTTACTACATAGAGCCACTGCGTTCATGCACAGTGCGTTTCCAGAGATATTTTATGCCACGTACCATCCGGCTTTACGAGGTTTCCTGAGCACTGTGACATGTCTGTATTGAAACGAGGCTTACGGAGAGTATTAAACGGTAGGCACCGGCTAGGCTTTGCCCCTGGAATAGCTGATGAGCGACGGTAAGCACTTACCATCAGGTGGGCCGTATGCCCGTCTGCCTACAAGGGCAATAAAAAAATAGTCGAAGTAGGAACCGATCAGTTAGCGGAGTTTTGCACGGACGCGAAAGTGAAATGTCCCTGCGATCACCGTTTAAAATATGACTGAACGCGTTGGTGATTTCCGAGGACATCGCCAAAGCCACTTCGCGCTGGATAATGGCCACGTTCGAGATAGTAAGTCCTTTTGCAATCTATCTTAATAATCTTCATTACAAAAAAGAATTCCATGATCAAAAACTTCGGTAGACTTTTATCCAACGGGTAAGAGAATACAAATTTCATTTATACGCCGCGGTAGGTACCAGGTTCTCCAGAATTACATATTTGTATGAGACGACGATATTAAAAGGGGTTTGTTTTCTCATTAGGTCAGCTAACCCTAAACGCTTCATAGGATTACTTATATACTAGGAAACAAAGACACGAACGTTTAAGGTTTTCTTTTTTGGATTTGTAACTACTCGTATAAGAACTGCCAAAGCGTCCATTAATAATTCAACTATTCCCTCTGAGAATAAATATAAAACATTATTATAATACATAAATAAGTACCTACTTTAACTTCGCGCACAAAGAACTAGCAAGAACAATAATATCCAGGGAATATTGGAATACAAATGGGGACGCTCCCAAAAATATGTATTGTTAGAGGGTAGCATCGTGAGCGAGTGCTGGAATGTTTTCGACGGAAATAATAATAAAGAGGGGAAACCATTGCCGTTTCAACAAAGCAAAAGGCTCAAAGGCTGAATACTTAGGACGCAATTACAGATGTTCAAAATGGGAATGATACCTATCAACTACGTATATTTCGATTCTATTTTATTTTAGATATCATAAGATATTTTTTGGGTAATAAAGTTTTGTGATATTATTATGCTTGTCATGTGACGAAACCTTTTTAGTTAAAGTGCAAAATTCTTCTTAATACTTTTTTACCAATAAGATCAATGATAGTGTAAAGATTTTTTTATGAATGAGGGATTACTGATGGCTCGGAGGCCTTTCTCGTTTAGCAAAGGCTCAGTCAGGAGGGGTGGGATTTGCTAAGAGCTGCCTGAGCGCCTCCAAAGGAGACCTAACAACTCAAAAGCAGCTGCTTCGCGAATGAATCTATTACCGGATCGGAATCGCGATCCGCTGAGAAGATCCGCGGGAAACACAGCGGGCATGGGTTAGGTTGCACATCGAACTCTTTGCAGAGTTCGACGAGTACGGTTACCGGGGTCCCTAAGCCTACTCCTAGTGCTGAAGCTGAAGGCGTCTAATGCAAGAGTTATTGGATCTGTAAGGACGTCTGTCGGACGGAAGGGTGTCGATGGTGACTGGCTCCTGCGTGATCCGGGTTCGGGGAGTAGTCAGCGGCGGCAACGATAAGGCAATGATCATGACGTATTGACTTATCGATGTAACGTTCCGCGCTGACTTCAGGTGTTTTCGTATCGATTCGAGGCCCAGGTCGTCCTGTAAGTCGACTTTCCTCACGAACAACAGAGCTCAGACGGCTAACCTGCAAAAACGGGATTGTAGGGATTGAAGGGTGTCTATGTGTGTGCGGGCCGCGTGAGCGAACACCCCACCCGCGTGAGTCATGACGAGCCCTAATCAAATTTTATAAAGTGTCACCTTGTTCCGAAGGGACATTTTACTCCGCTTACAGATCAAGGGGGGTAGAGCTTGCCGAGAATAAACGCGGTACGGTTGCGGACTGTTTTATATGCGGGTGGAATATCATGGATGCATCCAGGGTGATTCCCTGGTACATGATCTTCTTGGCCTAGGTAATAGGCTGGACGAAGAGGATGACAGGGGTGTGAGATTTCTCCTCCTAAGGCGGGAGGAAATTCGTGTAGTTTCCCTTTTGAAATAGCACCGCTGTGCTTTTTGCTGGGTTGGTGTCTATTATAAAGATACAGTTGAAGCCTCCGCACTTTGTAAGTAAGTCGCCAAGTTATTCAAATAATGCACTTTAC